CTCCCTCCAGTCGCCCAGCCACTGCACGAGCGTGGTAGATAGCAGTCGTCAGCTTGGCCCCTTCTCCGTGGGGCGCAGGCCCCCCTTTGGCTGCTGCTCCATCACTTTCTTAGGACCAAGTGACCCACTCTCCACTGGCACTTTAGGCGTGGCACTCAGATGCTCTTCTTCCAACTGGCCTCCTTGGCCTTTGTCCCCTTCCATGTCTGGGACAACTACACTTTCTGGGGTCACTTCCACTTCTTTCTTCCTTGTTGCGGTCCACTCCTCCACCATGGGGGTAACCTTCTCCCAAACCCTCACCCTCTTCAACCCAGGCTCACCTGAGGCCCCCTCAAGACGAACCCTCATTTTCTTTTTCTTCTTCTTCTTCAAAGCCTCCGCCTCCTTGTTTGCTCTTTCCTTCACCGGATCCACGGGGGGTGGTCGTGGCTCAAAACTGCCCAAGTCTTTTTCCCCCAGTGGCTTGGGGCGCGGCTGGATTCTCTCCCTCGTGACCGGTTTTGGTGGTGGGCCTAATTGCACGTCCTTGAATTTTTGGGCTCTGGCAAAAATAGCCCGGTTCTCCGCCTCTTGCGCTTTCCTTTTCGCCTCAAGCTCTGCCTGTGCCAGATCCCTACCGGTCAGCTGAGGGCCCAATCCTGCGATGAACAAAGCTGACGGCTGAACGAGGTCATCCCATCTGATGCCCTCCTTCTCCCTCTATGCCTTCACCTTTTTCACTCTCTCCTCCGCTGCAGCCCCCAGCTTTGGCTCCATAGACTTGGTGGGTACCCTTCATACCGTACGTACTCCAACTCTGCCGTTCGCAGATACGTAGAACCACCGTGGCCTCCATCCTTTAATTGATGACGGTAACCCTGCCACCAAACCCTTTCCTGCCACCGCCTGCAAAGTGACCCAAGTTTCTTGCTGGCCCGAGGCCTTATAGCAGGCAAAAAACTTGTCCACCATCATGGCCGCTCCCTCGTTCGCCTTCGGCCACGCACTCGCACAGGCCAATACAATCTTCCATGCGTTGGGCATCAATTGGCCTGGCGCCACTTCCAGTTGGTGGAGGACATCCACTACCACCTGGGGAAGCGGCAACCTCAACCCTCCCTTCAACGTCTCCTCGTGCAGGACAAACTCCCCCTGCCAGGCGTCGGATGGCCTCTCCGTTGCTGTCGGTAACATCAACTCTATTTCGTCAGGCACCTGGTATTTTTTTCGTATACCCTCCAACTCCTCCGCCGTAACGGTTGACTTGTCAGCCTTCGTATGCCAGTGATCTGGCTCAGCCTGGTTGATTGGCTTCGCAGCCGCCATCAATGTCAATGAACGCAGCGGTCCCGCCGGCCCCCCTACTCTCTCCACTTGCCTCTCCATCCTGTACTGTTCCGCCAACTCCACCCCATCATCGTCCCCTAATGGATCAACCCTGGCAGTTCTAGCTTCTTCCTGGGCCATTTTTGTCGTGTGTCTGCGAATGGCTTCAGATGCAGGCGCAAGAAAGTTCAAAAAATGTCGCAAGGGTGTATCACTTGCAATGAAGGAGTCTACACTTGGAATGTTTTGATTTTTTGAAAAAAGGTAGGTAAAACGTATAATCCCAAAAGCCCAAGGCTTGCCTGTATTCTAGGGGTCACAATTAATTGCCGCCAGTTTGAAAAATTTTCAACCATCCGCCAAAACTGTCTTTTCAACACCCATTATGACCTATCGTTTCACCTCTGGCCCAACGCCTAACCTCCCCCACCACGAGATGATGCCACATGTACGACTACGATTCACTGCACCCTTCCCCTACCCTGTCTTTTCCACTTCAAGTCACCACGTGACCCGTCGCCTCTCGAGCCCCACCCCTGCCACTTCCTCCTTCGCAGTCGGCCCACCTCATGGTCGATCCCTCCACTCGGTTACCCCTCGCGGTCGGCCCTCCTCATGGTCGGCCACTCCACTCGATTACCCTTCGCGGTCGGCCCTCCTCATGGTCGGCCACTCCACTCGGCTACCCTTTGTGGTCGGCCCCCCTCGCGGTCGGTCACCCCATTCGGCTACCCTTCGCGGTCGGCCCCCTTCATGGTCGATCCCTTCACTCGGCTACCCTTCGCCGTCGGCCCTCCTCATGGTCGGTCCCTTCACTCGGCGACCCTCCGCGGTCGGCTATCCTCCTAATCAGTCCTTACGCTCGATCACTTCTATTGGTCGGCCCCCCTCCTGCAGATCTCTAACCACCCTCATTTTCTTCATTATTCCCTTCGTTGGACTAAAGCTACACTCGGGAATGGGGGACTACTGACATGGGTAGGCCCATAAAGGCTACAGCCCACCATGAACAACTCAAGCCCACCACTTAGGGCCCAATACATAACCCAACTGATAAGGCCCAACACCATCTGGAAGTCAACAGGGCATAAAAGACCAATGATATTCAGACACATGGCAAGTAAAGGGCAAGCTATATTAGCAGACAAAGATCTGCAAAGTTATTGCCATTGCACATCGCCATTAATGCAGCCCCTCACTGCATTTATTACGACAACACCTTTCCGTTGGGACAACACGCCCTCACCCTGAGCAAGGTAAGCTACAACATAGACTTTTGGCCAAGGCGACAGGTCAGACGGGACAACCAAATGATTACTAAAGGATATAAGTAAACGTTGAAGACAAGAAGAAAGTTAAGCTTTTCTATCTCTAATCTATCTACATACTCCACTCTCTCTCTCTCTCTCTAACTTGTTCGTCGGAAGGTTCGCTCGGGGACTCCCCGTTCCCCGTTGAACTCTTGTGCAGGTTCTCTGGTGGGTTTGGTCATTCAGACATTAGGCTTGAAGAGCGTGGATCAGTCCAACCCATCCTACCATCATTACTATATCATCAGCTTTGAACCCATCAATCTAATATATATATATTTACTTTTTAAATTCATTTTATAAATTTAATGATGTATAAATAATATGATTAGTTGATAATTATGAAAGATATGAGAGAGAGATTGTTACTTTTAATATCATAATTGATTACTATATTATTAAGTTTAAAAATTAAATCTAACTTTTTATCTTAAACAACAATGCTAAAAAAAAAATGATAGCTATGAACCCATAGCTTTCAACGTCATTATGTGAACTCCACTACTTTAAATATATCACAAAAACTATTATTTTTTGATTATTTACTTATTTTTCCATTTTAATAAGTTTAAAAATATAGAACTAATCAAAATATCAACCAAAAAAAAAAACATATACATCATACGTTAAAGTCACCATATTACATAACCAAAAAAAAAAAAAAAAAAAGTCACCATAAAAATAATAATTTCACTCAAATTATTCTATTTATATTTTTTGTGGTTGGTTATTTATATATATTTTTTTATCAGCAAAGATTTTTTTTAATAATACTAGAAAAGATATTACAGTATGAAGTCTGGCCAAAATTACAACATAGCTTGAGCGGAACATCCCAACTCTATGTTAGGAAGCTTTTTTGTTTAAAAAATAGTAATATATTAAATTTTGTTGCATAGTTGTATATCACCATAACATTTTATCACTGAAACTCTTCACATTCTATGTAGTTTTCACTAATTGTTAAATATAATAAGTCTTACACATATATATAATTTTTATTTTATTATATACATAAGAGGCGAAATAAATTCAATGAGAAATGGCATTTCTCATTTTCTTTTGTTTGACTTAAGAATTTAAAATTATTTTGTTAATTTATTGAAAATAAATATGATATAGGATCTATAAAAGGTGAGGTGAAATAAATTCGATGAGAAATAGCATTTCTTATTTTCTATTGTTTGACTTAAGAATTTTAATTTTTTTTGTTGATTTATTGAAAATAAATATGATATAAGATTTACGAAAGGTTGGCTTATTTATACTCCCGAAAAGCACTCTACTTTTTATTTTGTAGGAAAAATTGTAATAAAGCCAAAATTTTGTTAATTTCTTTTATTGTTTCTCTTAAATCTGAATATTTTTTTCTCCTTCGGAGGGGTAGATTTGATATTTGTGCAAAAATTTGCCCATGAGTACAAAATAGTGTGTGTGTTTTTTTTATTGAAAAAGGGTATTAATAATATCACTCTTTATGAAATTTAAATTTTTAATTGAAATCATTGACAAAAAAAAATTTGGAGTCACCACTGTATAGACTATAGAGGCCCAATATTAAGGCTTAACCGTAATTTCCTTCGACAATCACTTCCAATTACTCTAACATTTGTGTTTTATGTTAGTACAAAATGGAACGTACATCTCTTACTTTTTCACTAGAATATATTTTTTCTCAAAATTAATCCTACAAAAAACACAAATTTTTGTAAAAAATAATTTGTATTTTCTTAACAAGTGAACACGAGAGAAAAAATAATTTCCTTTTCCTTCACCTCATTTTACTATATTTTTTGAAAAAAATATTTCTACATATTCATTTCGGACCGAAGTAATAAATAATAACATATACTTTATATGTTTGGATTGAATGATTTGGAGAGAAAAGAAAAGAAATGATGAGATATATATTTCTCTTTTTTGTTTGGATAATTTAAATAGAGAGAAATAGGGAAAAATAGAAAGAAACGAAAGGAAACTCATTTCTCTTATAACCAATTATTTATTTTATTTTATTTTTTTATTTATCCAAATAAAAAGGAGAAAAATCACAATTATTTACGTTGTGTTTGGTTAGAAGATTTGAGAAAGGATTTGGAAAGGAAAAAAGAAAATGTGTGTAAAACTAGATGAAATATAAGTATGTTTTATTCACATTTCAGCTACCTTTTTTATTTTTCTTTTCAATTTTTCCTCAAATCCTTTAACCAAACACAACATTATTTTCTTTTCTTTTTTTCGTAACCATTTCTTTTCTTTTCTAACTTCTCCAACATTGTAAGTGCTAAATGAAGTGGTATTTTTACCCTTTAAAAAATGAATAAGAGAAAATAAGGAAAAAAACAAAAACAAAAAGAAGGAGAAAAAGGGGTGAAATTAACAAACGATGGAAAAATAATAATGAAAAAGGGCAATCAGAGTCTGATTGGAGCAAACTGAAGACCGGGCTTCCCACCCTTATACAGCTTTGATTATTATTGAATTGTATAGTTATAGCAGTATCGAATCAGAGAAGTGTCTCTAGTCTAGTCTACATTTGAGAGTTGAGAAGCGTTCGATATAGATATACGGCCGATCACTCTACAAATGCTGTTTCTATAGCTTCCGATCCGATTGCAGGTACTTGTTCTTGCTACAAATCCTTTTTTTTTTTTTTTTTAAACAAAACATCGCTACTTGTATTTCACTTTACGATTTGTTCTGATCCATCGTTTGACTTTAGTCTTTGTTCTATCGGAGACGAGGGTTTTTACAATTAATTTGCTTGTCTGATTGCTCACAAGTCCTGAAGCCCTAATTGTCGGATTCATAGTTACTTTTTACATTGCATAAATTCCTAGAAACAGTTCCAGCGTTTGATTGCCAAGAAAGTCCTATTTTTTTCTTTTTTCTTTTTTCTTTTTCTTTTTTTTTATATTTATTTTCCTCTTCTTTCATTAGCCCTTCTTTAATACTAACGTTTTATCGTCAATGCAAGAGGGCATTGAAGCATATGGGTTGGTGGGTTGATCCATCTGAATATAAACAAAATTTGGGTATGCTAGTTTTTAGAATTAAAAGTCAAAAAAAAATATATATATATATATATACATGTGTGTGTGTACATTATAGAAGTTTTCCTTTTGATTGCCAAGAAATTCCTTTTGATTGACTGTTTTGAGAAGTCGGTTAGAAGCTTACTTTTTTATTTTTATTTTTGAAAAATTGTGTGAAAAAATAGAAAGGAGTTGTCAAAATTGTCAAAAAAGTTAAAAAGCTGCTTTTAAGATTTATTATATGCAAGAGGGCATTCAAGCATATGGATAATTCATATAAAAACAAACGAAATTTGGGCATGCTAGTTTTTAAAATTAATAGTAAATATATATATATATATATAAGTTCTGAATGATCGTCATACAATGTGCTAGGTGGTTTAGTTGCCACAAAAGCATATCATTGGCTTAGAGCATCTCCAACGGTGCATTTCTTTTTTTATCAAATCTGAGTAAAAAATGACCCATTTTACCAAATCTGATATCACTCGCTCCAACGGTGAACTTTTATCAAATTTGCGCCGGGACAACCGGTTGGTTGACCAGCCGGTTGACCGGTTAGGCGAATTTTTTTTTTTTTTTTGAACTTTTTGAACCTTTTAGTGGTCGACCAGCTAGTCAACCGGCTGGTCGACCAGTAAGGCAAAATTTTTTTTTTTTTTTTTTTACTGTTTGAACCTTTTCTTGGAACTGTTTGAACCTTTTGGTGGTCGACCGGTTGGGCAACCGGCCGGGCAACCGGCTGGTTGACCGGTTGGTCTCCCCCAACGGTCACAAACAGTGTTTTGATGAAATCAGTATTCTGTCCTCAGTTTGATGAATTGTTTGGTGAAATCTCATTTTGATATCGATTTGGTGCAACCGTTGGAGCACCAAACAGTAACTTTTTCACCAAATTTTAAATTTGATGTCAACTTTGATGAACCGTTGGAAATGGTCTTATGTAATGGCAAATGATGATATATTGGCTGCTAAATATTCGGCCAGTGGGTCTAGATCAAACTAGTGAACACATATTTGGTTTTCATTTTATGTTGAATTGTTCTCTCCATTTTCTAGTGCTTGTGATGTTTTTTCCTTTAAAATTAGGTTTCGAGCTTAAATTGATTTTTCATCTAGAAATCTCAATTTTCTTATTCTGTCGAGATATGTGAATTATTTTTTCTTTGTAAAATTCATTAAAATAAAAAATTTGACGCTGAACAAACTTATGAAAAGACATGTTAATTATCTATGTTATGAGGGTTAAACAAGTGTCACTTTGTAGAGGATCATGAATAAAAAATTTGCAGTTGCAATACTGGAAAAAATTAATGGAGATGAGTTACAATATGACATTTTTTCATGAGGGTTGTCTAAGTCATATTGTTGGAAAAGTTAAAAGTAATATCTGAAATGAAAAAAGCAATTGAATTTCTAGATGTGGAATGAAAGTGCCTACGGTTTTTTCAAACTGGATTCCCTCCTTCACTTACTTTGATTTTACAGTACTAAAAGAACCTTGATACGATTGTCTTTCTTCTTAGATTATGAAAAATTTGTATTTAGTTAGTTATTTATTAGTAAATGATGTTTCCTTATTTGTATAACTCATGAACTATGAATCACCAACACTTCAAAACAAATGCCGTAGTAGTGTCAAACATTGGAACATGGTGTGGATATGTATGGGATATGCCATGTGGCATGTCCTTTTATTTAATTAATTTGTTTTCAGTGGACACACTCCTAACATGCCAACTAGATTTTTTCCTACTATTCTTTAGTGCTTTTGATGGATGTTAGATGTTAAACGTTCATTACTTTTTTTTTTTAGATTTAAATAATTAATAGACCATCAATAAAAAAGACATAAACGACAAGTAACTTAAGGGTTTTTTTTTTTTTTTTTTGTTATTTAAAAAAAAAAAAAATTAATATTGAAGTAGTGTTAATTTTTGATTTTTTGTGGATGTAGTATTAGGCTAAGTTTGGCAGCTTGCAAAAAAGCTAAAAAGTCAAAAAGTTACTCAAAAAGTTAAAAAGTTATCACTATTTACCAAAAGTCAAAAATTACGGCTGCACAACTCTCAATCCTAATTTTCCCCTACACACTAATTTATTCAATTTTTTAATATACATTTTTTCATAAAAAGTCAAAAAATTAACCCAAACATCTATATTTTTTTTCTCAATTTTTTAGTCCAAAAAGACAAAAAATGCACTTATTTAGGACACCCCAAACAACCCCTTAATCTACATAGCAAATAAAAATATAATTTTTGTTGCCTTGTTTTTGTTCTACTTGTGTCCCCATTTTGTTTTTTGAGATCACTGTGTCCCATGTCCGTGATTTTGCCCATGAAATTATGATGATTTAAATTATGCCCTGTTGATGTGGGTTTTAGATTGGTGTTTCTAAGAATTTTGTTCTATTTGTGGCTTGATCTGGCGGTGACTTGATAACAATGTAGGGTGTGTTTGCGTTTGGAGATGATGGATATGACATGGATCAATGCTCTTCTAGTAGGGGCAGGCTGTTTTGCTCTGGGATACCTCATGAGTGCACGACATCTTGCTCGAAATTTTGTTTCAACCAGGGTAGCTAAAGAGACCTCAGTTGTGGATGTAAACAAGAAGAATCGGTCCAAAGAACCCCTTGAGATTGAAAAGCTGGCTGACATTCTTGAAGATTTCAAAATGGTTTCACGTCTCTTTGCTCTAACATTATCTCTATGTGTGTACACCACACACACACACACACACACACACACACATATTTATTCTAATATATAAAGTGAAGGCTGCTGGTGGTGTTGACACATTATTGTCTCATATTTTAGGTTTTCCTAAAATTCTCCTGTAGTTGATATTTATGTAAAAAAGAAGAGGATAAGACTTGAAACCAAAATCATGAGTTTGGCAAAACAAGTCCTTAACCACTTGAGCAACAAATAATGTGTATTTTTCTTTATCATTATTCTTATACTATTATTGTTTTTTGAATTGCACACGCATTGCGTGTGCGGCCGGTAGTCTATTATAAAGTGAAGGCTGCTAGTGGTGTTGACTCAAATGTGTCTTATATTTTTGGGTTTTTCCAAAATACCCCTGTATTTGGAGTTTTTGTAAGTGAAGGTGCTGGTGGTGTTGACACAAATGTGTCTTATATTTTGGGTTTTTCCAAAATACCCCTATATTTTGAGTTTTTGTAAAATTTATGCAACGAGGAGGACAAGTCTCGAACACATGACCATGGATTTAATAATGAGAGCTCTTACCACTTGAGCAACACAGACTATATGTGCATTTTCTTTTTGCCATTATTCTTATAATTTATTTATTTTTTGGAGTTGCGCACGTATTGTGTGTGAAGATTGCTACTAATATATATATGGCGGCCAGGAGAATTGACTTGAATTTCACTTTATTCTTATTTAATGTAGGTTTTGGTTGTGAGGAATGACTTAAAGATGGGGAAAGGAAAGATTGCTGCCCAATGCAGGTAGCAACTTGTTCTGCAGTCTCAAACATCAATTATGCTTTGCTTTTGCTCTTGGATTGGACATCTAATAAATAAATAAAAACTAGCGGGCAGGTATATTGTTCTGTAAATTTTGAAGTGTAGCATTTTCAACTATGACCTAATAATATGGTTTGTTAGGTTTCATGCCGGCATAGTGAATAGAATAGTCTAGTTCGTATGTTAAGATGCTTTTACGACTTCATTAGCAAAAGTGAAGAGCCAATCTATGGGTATCTTAACATCCTCTTTCAATATAAGAGACAAAATATTTGATTGGTAATAAACTCATTTATTTGCAGAGGAGTTTTGCTGAGCAGATGATTATGAATTTTGTTGTAAAAAATACCAACATATTCATAGTGTGCCCTTGTTTGAGCTCAGGCATATTAGTAAAATAAAAAGTAATTAAGGCATAAATATCGTGGCCAAGAGAAATTGAAGACTTGTCATTGAACATAGACGTTTAGAATGTGCAAGATCAAATTCTTCTTTGCCCCTTATTTAAATGTGCATTGAGTCTGCTCATTCCACTTGTAATGTTAAAGGTCTCTTGAATAAGGCATAGAATAACATATGAAGTGGTTTGTAATAGCTACAAAACCTTTCAATATGATATTAAAAAATAATGTATTAGAAGGCAAGCATTGATGGGTGAGTGGCTCTCTAGAGGTATGCTGTTGAGGAGAATCTGTTGTGGAGAAGGGTGATTGATTGTAAGTTTGGAGTGGATTATAGAGGATGGACTTCCAAGGAAAGTCGTCAACTATAAGGTGTGGAAAGCTATTAGGAAAGGATGACCAAAATTTGCGAAGTTTGTAAGATTTGAGGAAGGGATGGCAGCAAGATTCAGTTTTGGCATGATATTTGGTGTAGAGACTTTCCTATTTCAGTAGCCTTCCCAGATTTGTTCAACTTTGCAATTTACAAAAATGCTTTGTTGGCAAATTATCTGAGTTTTACTAGCATTGGAAATTGGTATGGGAGCTGGAGGCTGTGTGTGACGGAAGAGACGATGAATCATCCACTTCTCAATTGTCGTAGGCAAAAAGTTATGGGATTTATTACTTTCTATTTTTGGAGTGTTGGGAAATGGTTGTGGGTGGAAAACAAAGAAGAAAGCTTGGATGGTGACTCAATAATGCCTCATGTGGTGCCTATGGAGGGAGAGGAATATACCTACTTTTGATAGTAGAAGTTAGGGATTCAATTTTTTTTTTTTTCCTTTCTTGATTTAGGGATTCAAAAGTTAAGATGAGCCTGTCATACTTTTCATTTTTTGTGTAAAGGATTCTCTTGTAGATTTCTTAGCCGAGGTCAACTTTTTGTGTTGGAACTTTTCCGCTCCTCTTTTTGTACAAAGGTACCACCCCTTTTGGTGTCATATTTAGAAAGACATTACAATCTTATAAGAAAAAAAATTTAAGGGTATGAGATGTTGGTATCTTTGACTCATTAATTGCTGTGCAGTTCTGCTTTGCACTTTATTTTATTGCAATTGCAGAAAACCTTTCACACTCTGGTTTATTTTGTTTTATTTGCATTCTCCTTGTGGTTGGTTTTGCATGTTCTTCTTATCTGTTATTGACAAATTTACCTTGGTTTTTAGTCATGCAACTTTGGGTCTCTATAAAAAGCTGCTTCATCGTGCACCAAAAGCTTTAAACAGGTACTTTTCAAAATTTATTTAGGACTTATTTTGTGTTGAGCCCTGACTATGTACATGTGTTCTGTGTCAACCTATTCTTTCTGATCCGATTATGTCCATATGCAGGTGGGAGATGTGTGGGCAGGTTAAGGTGGTTGTGAAAATTGAAAGCGAGGAAGATTTGCTAGTTCTGCAAGTTAGTATGATTTAGATCATTGTGATGGATATAAACTAATTTTGGCTGAGCAAAAAAATACTTTTCCTTTAATTACACTGTTAAGCCTTTCCCCTTTCACTTTTATTGTAGTTTCATTGCCTGTGCATTATTTTATCTCATCTTCTCATCCTTTTGGCAAATTCTTCTTTACTTTGACAGGAAAAGGCAAAATCACTGAACATACCAACCCACGTCACAATTGATGCAGGGAGGACACAAATTGCACCGAGTGAGTCGTAAATTAATTCCCTTCGTTGTAACTTTTCTTTGTTGTTTTTTGATGTGGTAGATAACTATTTTTTGCATTGATTATAAGTTCCAAGGTTTTCTGGAATGTATTGAAATTTGTGGATTTTGGGACTTGCTTAGAGCCTTCATTGGAATATGCTTTTAGCAACCATAGTTGGCTAGTTTTCATGAATTATGTGGAGAGCTAAAGCTGGATTTCGGCATATAGGCTTTGTATTGATTGATGTATGTTGATGTGGAGTGTGGCAATATTTAAAAAATTGGACCAGACCAGCCAGTTCAACCAGTTAAACCATCAACTGGCCCTTGTTCTGGTCTGAACGCACCCCTGAATCATTTTGAACTAAAAACCGGACAAAACCGGACAAAACCGGCAAAAACTGGAACCTGTACAAAACCGTTCATGGTCTGCTAGAATCAGCCAGACTAAAGCCACTCGGAAAATTAAGCTCTTTCCTTCTACATAGGCTTTGCTTTTTTTTTTATTTTTTTTGGATAAATAAAATGCAATATTATTGATTTGCAGCATCAAGCTTATGCGAAGGAATACAAAAAAATAAACCCTCAAGAAAGGTGAAAACACCCCCTAACCAATCAAGTCATCCAAAAAATTTGAAAAACAAACACATCTGGATCCACTTGAATGTTATAAGCTATGTTACCTGTAATGTGGATCGTTTTGGGATGTGGAATGAGAATAGGAGCAGGAACAAGAGCGTGGCATGCCACATGCTTTCAAATGTGGTATTATAGGGATAGACTTGTAGAGCTGACACTCTATGTTATGAGGACTCTTCAAAATAAATTAAATATCCGTGTTAGACACCCAGAAAGTAAAATTATGGTAATGTGTAGAACACTGTGTGCTCTCTGGCCCCTTATAAGCAGGCCTAATAAAGAACTTTTTGGATTAGCTTTCAAGCAATGTGCAATTTTTTTTTCTCAATTTTGTGTCAACTATGTTCTGTGATACCCTCACATTGTCTGCCAAGTCTTTTTCATTCGATACTTGCAAGTTGCAACAAAACTTACAATTCTTTGTTGCATATTATCCCAATTGACATTTGCCTAACTATGTTACTCATTCTTTTCTTTTCTTTCAGATTCAAGGACCGTAATGGCCATTATTGGTAAGTTCATCTCTACTTGTTCCCCCATCTCCCTCCCCACCCATGTGTGATTGAGATGGGAATTTTTCATGTGGAGAACTTATTGCATAGCATACTTACAGTTTTTGTCACAACAAAAACTTTTTCTCCTCAGCACACGCATCCTGTCACGTTTATTAATTAGTTTATTTATTTTTGTCTCCCAAAGTTCATTGGACTAATTCTCATGCTCATGCATGTGCAGGACCTGCTGAAATGGTTGATGATGTAACAGGTGGACTGAAGCTTTTGTAGGGACTGATTCATTAGGGTTGGTATCTATCTGACTGGTACGAGCGTTACATTACATGGTAGAGTTCTGAGATCTCAGTTTTATGGCTGAGAGTGTTGCAAAATCTACTCACTTGATTGGAGAATGGGCAGAGGATCTCGTTGGTGATGATGATGATGATGAAATTTTTTCTATATAGACCCATTATCAATGATGGAATTATTCTTTTTGAGTTGAATATGATTGGTGATAGTGAAACTGAATCACATCACCGTTTAATTTGCAAATTAGACCAAGTGATTGGTTTGTTGCTTTGTAATGATGCTCCATTGTCTCTCAACCTGGTGACATCTTTTGAGTTGTTTTTGCACCATGAATGCAACCGTGACTTTTGTACTCTATCTAGGATATGATCAGGTTGAGTTATTGAGCTGGGTTAGGCTTGTAAGCTTTGAATTAGACTAAGGAGGTGGCAGAGCTTGGAAGGTGACTTTGTTTGCGGTTCATCACATATATGTGGGATATGGCTGGGCCAATTGTCTTATCCCAATTTGGCTGCTCAGCTTAGTATTGTTTGATTTGTATGTTCAAGATGTGGGGTCATGGTATGACTCTTTCTTGTTTTTAAGAAACCCAACACAAAAGTTACATCTTCTTGTTTTTTTGGGTACAATGGAAAGAAATTATAAATATGTACAAGTTCGAATATGAGAGAGAGAGAGGGAGAGGGAGAGGGACCAGTAAGCAGTGGAAGAAATTGAACCCCGAATTTCTTATAGAGGTGTAGAGGGGCTCTTTCTCTTTTTTTGAGAGTAGAAGAGATGATGCAATGGCGTTTTAAAGCAAAGATGCATGAGCCAAGGAAGAACTAGAGTACAATTGAGCGAGACAGATGCTAGATTCTGAATGTGCTATTGTTGAGGCAATTGATGTCCAAACAACCAAAAAAGCATTAAAATAATAATAATAATAATAGGGTAAATTACGCTTTTACCCTTTAAACTATATGCACTTTTTTTATTTGGTCCCTTAACTATTGCTTGTGTTTCTTTAGTCCCTAAACTTTAATAATTTGTGTTTGTCGAGTCCAATTTGTGTCTGCCGTCCAAATCATAAATGAAATAATGTTAGTGGAGGGCAAAAGAGACATTTTACACAAATAAAATTGAAGGGAATGTTCCTACCAGTCCTCTAATATATATCCATATATATATACATGGCTGTGTATGGAAAAAAAAAAAAAAACTGAGCATCAAGAAGACAGAGAAGAGAAAGAGGAAGAAGAGTAGAAAGAGGAAGAACAATGTACCAGATAGATGCAATGCATTGCTCATGTGACAGAGCTGCTGTACTGAAGACATCTTGGACAAACTTGAACCCGGGAAGACGATTCTTATACTGCAACGGATATGGGCTCAATGGGGGAAGATGTGGATTTTTCCAGTGGTTTAATGTATCTATATGTAGCCGGTTAAAGCAAATTATACCAGTACTCCTATAAAGGATTACTAAGATGGAAGAGCAAATATCAGAGATGAAAAGAAAGGAGAAGATACTCTGGGTTTGTTTGGTTGTGTCTTGGCTTATCATCTTGGTGTTATTGCTGTAGAAGATACTCTAGGTTTGCTATGTAACTTATTGGATATGTTTTGTATGGAAAATTGTGTGTCCAAATCTTCTATAATGGTTGATTGTGTTTACCAACAAAAAACAAACACGCAAAAAAATAAAAATAAATAAATAAATAACAAACAAACAAACAGAATAACAGTGCAGCCCCCCCTCCCCCTATTTAAAGATAAACATTGTCATCATTTCCATTCATAAAAATTTTAAGTTCATTGAAATTACAAATACCCCAAAAAAAAAAAAAATCTTGCATTATTAAATAGTTGACATGAAGTTCATTGTCATTACAAACACAAAAGCAATCCTACATTTCTACTACTGTGTTCACCCTCTCTTCTTGGATATGCCTCCTTTGGCTGGTGCTACCCTTTTCTGTCTTGAGGCTTGAGTGATAGAGGTTGCATCAAAAGGTGGTGTTGGTCTCATAGGCATTGGAGATACCCTCACATTGTCTGCCAAGTCTTTTTCATTCGATACTTGCAAGTTGCAACAAAACTTACAATTCTTTGTTGCATATTATCCCAATTGACATTTGCCTAACTATGTTACTCATTCTTTTCTTTTCTTTCAGATTCAAGGACCGTAATGGCCATTATTGGTAAGTTCATCTCTACTTGTTCCCCCATCTCCCTCCCCACCCATGTGTGATTGAGATGGGAATTTTTCATGTGGAGAACTTATTGCATAGCATACTTACAGTTTTTGTCACAACAAAAACTTTTTCTCCTCAGCACATGCATCCTGTCACGTTTATTAATTAGTTTATTTATTTTTGTCTCCCAAAGTTCATTGGACTAATTCTCATGCTCATGCATGTGCAGGACCTGCTGAAATGGTTGATGATGTAACAGGTGGACTGAAGCTTTTGTAGGGACTGATTCATTAGGGTTGGTATCTATCTGACTGGTACGGGCGTTACATTACATGGTAGAGTTCTGAGATCTCAGTTTTATGGCTGAGAGTGTTGCAAAATCTACTCACTTGATTGGAGAATGGGCAGAGGATCTCGTTGGTGATGATGATGATGATGAAATTTTTTCTATATAGACCCATTATCAATGATGGAATTATTCTTTTTGAGTTGAATATGATTGGTGATAGTGAAACTGAATCACATCACCGTTTAATTTGCAAATTAGACCAAGTGATTGGTTTGTTGCTTTGTAATGATGCTCCATTGTCTCTCAACCTGGTGACATCTTTTGAGTTGTTTTTGCACCATGAATGCAACAGTGACTTTTGTACTCTATCTGGGATATGATTAGGTTGAGTTATTGAGCTGGGTTAGGCTTGTGAGCTTTGAATTAGACTAAGGAGGTGGCAAAGCTTGGAAGGTGACTTTGTTTGCAGTTCATCACATATATGTGGGATATGGCTGGGCAAATTTTCTTATCCCAATTTGGCTGCTCAGCTTAGTATTGTTTGATTTGTATGTTCAAGATGTGGGGTCATGGTATGACTCTTTCTTGTTATTAAGAAACCCAACACAAAAGTTATATCTTCTTGTTTTTTTGGGTACAATGGAAAGAAATTATAAATATGTACAAGTTTGAATATGAGAGAGAGGGAGAGGGAGAGGGACCGGTAAGCAGTGGAAGAAATTGAACCCCGAATTTCTTATAGAGGTGTAGAGGGGCTCTTTCTCTTTTTTTGAGAGTAGAAGAGATGATGCAATGGCGTTTTAAAGCAAAGATGCAGGAGCCAAGGAAGAACTAGAGTACAATTGAGTGAGACAGATGCTAGATTCTGAATGTGCTATTGTTGAGGCAATTGATGTCCAAACAACCAAAAAAGCATTAAAATAATAATAATAATAGGGTAAATTACACTTTTACCCTTTAAACTATATGTGCTTTTTCTATTTGGTCTCTTAACTATTGTTTGTGTTTCTTTAGTCCCTAAATTTTAATAATTTGTGTTTGTCAAGTCCAATTTGTGTCTGTCGTCCAAATCATTAACGAAATAACGTTGGTGGAGGGCAAAAGAGATATTTTACACAAATAAAACTGGAGGGAATGTTCTTACCAGTCCTCTAATATATACCCACATATATATACATGGCTATGTATGGAAAAAAAAAAACTGAGCGTCAAGAAGATAGAGAAGAGAAAGAGGAAGGAGAGTAGAAAGAGGAAGAACAATGTACCGGATGGATGCAATGCATTGCTCATGTGACAGAGCCGTTATGATGAAGACATCTTGGACAAACTTGAACCCGGGAAGATGATTCTTATACTGCGACGGATATGGGTTCAATGGGGGAAGATGTGGATTTTTCCTATGGTTTGATGTACCTATATGTGGCTGGTCAAAGCAAATTATACTAGGACTCCTACGAAGGATTACTAAGATGGAGGAGCAAATATCAGAGATGAAAAGAAAGGAGAAGATACTCTGGGTTTGTTTGGTTGTGTCTTGTCTTATCATCTTGGTGTTGTTGCTGTAGAAGATACTCTAGGTTTCCTATGTAATATATTTGCTATGCAACTTATTGGATATGTAATGAATGAAAGGTGTTGTATGGAAAATTATGTGTCCAAATCTTCTATAATGGTTGATTGTGTTTACCAACAAAAAACAAACATGCAAAAAAATATAAATAAATAAATAAATAACAAACAAACAAACAGAATAACAGTGCAGCCCCCCCTCCCCCTATTTAAAGATAAACATTGTCATCATTTCCATTCATAAAAGTTTTAAGTTCATTGTCATTACAAATACAAAAAAAAAAAAAAAAATCCTACATTATTAAATAGTTGACATGAAGTTCATTGTCATTACAAACACAAAAGCAATCCTACATTTCTACTACTGTGTTCACCCTCTTTTCTTGGATATGCCTCCTTTGGCTGGTGCTACCCTTTTCTGTCTTGAGGCTTGAGTGATAGAGGTTGCATCAAAAGGTGGTGTTGGTCTCATAGGCATTGGAGGTTGACTTGCAAAAGTTATAGCAGCAGGTGGTGGCCTCTTTGGCATTGGAGGTTGACTTGCAAAAATTACAGTAGCAAGTAGTGGCCTTCTTAGCATTGGCCCTTGATTTGCAAAATTGGCAGCAACAACAGGTGGTAGCCTCCTGGGCATTGGCCCTTGACTTGCAAAAGTTCTAACATCTCTTTCACCTGCTGTTATATTATCCTGCTGCAAAGCACAAGATGTATCATAGTTAGTGATCACTAAGTGAATGAAAACAAACAAATGTTGTGGGCTTTACTTACAGAGGGTTGAAGCTCTGATTTACAAGTCTTGGTGTTGTGGCCCTTCTGTCCACATTTTTTGCAACTCAAATTCTTTTTAAATCTCCTTAGCTTTGTAGGCTTTTGACCTTTAGGTCCCTCATCTAGTTCCCTCCTTCTTGCCTTCCTTGGCCTTCTAGGCTGTTTAAGGTATTCTAGGGAAAACATTGGTTTTTTTCCTGATTGCTCCCACATCTTAGCACTATTTATTGGGCACATCATGTGTGTGTAAGCCTTTAGAAATGTATCTTTTTTGTAACAATAATGGACATATTCCTTAGGTTGTTCCATTGATGTCCAAATGACAGATATTGCATGTGCATAAGGGATTTCTATCAACTCCCATCTTTTGCAAGAACATGTCTCCTTTTTAAGGTCCACTATAAACTGATCACCATGCATTCCTCTTACTTCAAATTTTTTATCTCCTGTAAATGCTGGAATGTATGCAACAACATTTGTCTTATTTTTCTCCAACACCTTGTGTATCTTAGGGCCTATGTTATCTTGTCAAAAAATTGAGAAACATATGCAAATGCATGAGGACAATCAGACAAAAAATACAAGGGACAATCAGACAAACACGTACAATAAGACGTCACTTTTTGAAACAGTACATACACTTCAAAACTCACTTCTTCAAAACAATACAGTAAACAAGAAAAAATCAACAAATAAAAAATTAACCAAAAATATACAAAATTGACCGAAAATGCTCAAAAAATCATAACCATGCAAAAATCTTAACAAAAAATTACAAAAATTATACTTACATTTCGGTATATAATTATCTTGACATCGTACATACTTCACCATGGCCATCTGGCCTCAATCAACACCAATAATGTTGCAAAACCCTTCGATTTTTCAAGAAAACCACAACCCCTAGCCTCAATCGACATTCTAAAGACTCAATTGAAGTTATGAAGATTGAATCGATGATCTGAAAACCACAAACCCCCATTTTTGTTATCCCAATTCGCCTCACGTGTATGGCTTATGTGGTTGAGGAGGAAATGTCCATTTTGACCTTCGTATCAGCCTTTCGTATTACATGGAATGCACGTGCAACGCTATTTCGTTGATGATTTGGATGGCAGACACAAATGATTAAAGTTTAGGGATTAAAGAAACACAAGCAATAGTTAAAGGACTAAATAGAAATAACGCGTATAATTTAAGGGGTAAAAGTGTAATTTACCCATAATAATAATTGGACTTTGCAAGTTTTGAATAATGAGAAGAATAGTTGCTGTAGGTATTTGGGAAAATATATCAAATTAATAATTGTGATAAATAGCAAGTTGAAAAAAAAAAAGAAAAAGAAAAAATTAACTCTTGGAGTTGTCTTTGATATAAAAGACAAAAAAATTAAAGGTCAGTGCTTCATGAAGAATTCTAAAGTAGAAAAAAAAAAAAAATGGGACGAAATAAAACAAAAATCCGACCTGCCGGATTCGAACCAGCGACCTAAGGATGTGCTGTTTACAACTACAGTCCTCCGCTCTACCAACTGAGCTAAGGTCGGTTTATTGAGCGCTTGATCCATTTCTTAATTTTTTACAGTTCAAATTTGTCTACCTCCACTCCTGAAATTAAAGAAAGAGATCCATCAATATAATAATAAGTTAATAATAACACACGACGAAGCTCTGTCACCATCGAATCATTGTATACGTCAAGTTAACAATCTTTGGATACCACGTTAATCGAAGATGATGTTTGGGATTTTTAGGCGTTTTACGTGTGTGTTAGATTAGTATATTTTTTTAGTTTTTATGTAAAAAATGTAAAATATAAATTAAATTTGAAAGTGACATGATAAAAAAATGATATGATTCAAATAAAATGATTATAATTCAAATAAAGTAATTTGTTAAAATAATAGGTACTATTTTAACACATTCCAAATAAAGCCTTAATATTATTTATTTTATGGCCTCTTCTTCTCTTTTTTTTTATGCTAAATCTCTTATATGATTAAAAAGATTCTCTTTCAAGAACCATTATGATACTCAGATGAACCATATTTTTTGGTCATTATTTGAGATTAAGGGGTTGTTTGGAGTGTCTTAAATAATTGTATTTTTTGATTTTTTAGATTAAAAAGTTAAAGAAAAAAAATAGTTGTTTGGGATAACTTTTTAACTTTTTAAAATTGAATAGATTAGTGTATAGGAGAAGATTGGGATATAATAGGTTGTACGGTTGAATGAATTAAGGGACCGCGTGGGATATGTATAGGCTAGGAGATGGTTCCATGCTTTTCGGGCATTGAATTGGAAGTGTTGTTTGGCCTGTGAGGGCCCACCACGGGTCCCGTTTTGCTAATCAAAATCGTTCAATGTGTAGAACTCGTCAAATACTATATACTTAAAAAAAAATCACATTGATCGGACATCGATAGCTATCTGATCGGATTAGTTTTTTTTCAACCGTTACCTATAACACCATCCTTTTTTTTTTACAAAACTGATTTGATCATGTAGTTAGCGATATCCGATCAACGTGATTTTTCATAAGCATATATAGGGGGTGTTTGTTTCAGCTTTTCAGAGCCAACTTATGGCTTTTAGCTTTGAAAAAGTTATTTTGGACTGTTTGGTTAAACTTATTTCAAACAGTTTCTGATTCTAACAGCTTATTTTAACTAAAAAAAGCTGATTCTGAGAAGCTGCTCACCCCTTGCTTCTGCTATTCAGCTTCTGCTGTGGACATGTTAATTTATGGTTATACTCTTAAATTTTTTTATTTTTTATTTTTTTAAAAATAGAAAAAGACTCAAATGGATTATAGATTATTATTATTATTTTTTATGAGAAATGTAGACAAACAAAAAATAAAAATTAATTGAAAAAGCTATTTCACAGCTTATTTAACAAACACTACTCAGCAACTTAAATCTATAATTCGACAGCTACACCAAACAGATTAACAACTTCTGATTAAAGTCATAATCTATAATCTGTCATGCTATAATTTATAAGTTGTTTTAACAGCTACACCAAACGGGGCCATAGTACTCGACAAGTTCTACATATTGAACGGTTCGGATTTTTAAAAAGGGACCCGTGGTAGGCCCCCACGAGCCAAACATTACCCTCCAACTTAATGAATATATACATATATATATATATATGTAATTTTCTTTTTTGTTCTTTGACTGACTACTTTTTGACATATATTCAGTACCTGTCAACTCGTTACTTTTTGTATTAAAATATTGTGTAAATTAATTTTTTATATATTTTTAATTTGTGAATAGTGATAACTTTTTAACATTTTTAATAACTTTTTGACTTTTTAAATTTTTCCTAGTATGCCAAACTAGGCCTAACTTAGAATGTAACATTTGAGGAATCTTGAGTTGTCTTCTTGAGAATATTAAATCTATTTGAAAATGCTCGATCAATTTGATTGATTAGATTTTTTAGGTTATTTTAAACAAATCAAGAGATTAGATGAGTGTTATATCTTACCTTTAATTTGACCTATATCCTTAATCAACAATGTTATAGGCTTCCAAAAAACACAACCCTCACAATTCCCCCACTCACCTGTGATTGGTTCAGGAAGAAAAGAAAAAAAAAAACAAAAAAAATAAAAACACATGATTAGTTCATATCATTTTGAGGGTCATGGGAGTCCCAACATTTTTTATTCTTAATTATCCTGGTCATCTTGGACATGAAGCTCAAACTTAGCCATGTTGGTACCTAATCAAACCTAGTTGGCTTGAATATGGACATCACATATTTACCCCATTATTTTTTATGAAGGAGAATACATAACTACTTGGAAAATATTTTTCTTGTTGTCAATGTAGATGTTATCCTCTAGTCATTCTTAGCTAGAAGATTCTTCAATGTTGATGAAGATTTTTCTCCTTGTTTTCTTTAGTAGAAGTCAAGTCCCAACCTAAAGGACAACCTGGCTCAAGATACAAATATTGGGTCCATGATGCACTGATTAATTCTTTCAAGATAAGAAATAAAAAATAAAAATGTGGTTTTGATTATGACAAAATAGTTTTCATTTTGAGACAAAATGTTGTTAGTTATGAATTAAAATGGCTACAACCAACAATCCATATTCATTTTTTATAAATAAATAAATATAACTAGAAATTAGAGTGTAGATGGTATGCACCACTTTAAAGTGTGCAACAGTTTCACATAAATCAATGAATCAACGATAAGAGTCCAATAAAGAAAAAATTATTTGGTGCTTTTTGAAGCATTGCCTAATTCTCCTAGGAGCCACGCAATCATTATGAGCCCCTTACATTTAGGACAAGCCTCGCCTGATTGCATGACCTTTAAAAGATGTTGGAACAATATCCCGCCACTGCCAAAAAACTTCCCTCAGCAGACTAGTATAGTAGTATGTAGTTGTCGGGCTGCAACTCAAACAGGTCCGGCGGGGCAAAGAATCTGTTCAAGTTTAGCCCGAAGTGTAAAAAAATCTGCCCAAGCTCGAGCCCGAGTTGCATAACATACTGTATAGACGCCAAAAGTTGAAGCTGCACATACTACATAGATGCCAAAAGTTGAAGACGACAGATAGAACTGTGTTGCATACTGTATAGATCCAGATGCATAATATTTGACAAAGAAGTTTCATCAATGCAAACAATCCCCAACAATATAATTTACTAGTATCCAACAGGCTTAAAAGGGCATTTAATCACTAGAACTCCCAAGATTCAAACTAGATTTTGCATATATCTACACAAGATTTAGCAAATCAAAGGATCAAGCCCTGTGCAGGCATGGGCTTGGAAGATTGCTCACTTGAACCAGATTTTGGGGATCCTGGGTCATGAATCTGAGCATAACCCTCTGACAAATGTCTTCCCTGTTCTTCCTCTGCCATCTTTTCCTTTGTTTTTTGCCCCACTTCTTCGGCAGCCTTGGCGACCCTATTGAAAGCACCAGTGACCCACGAAGCCCCGGTCAAAATATAGCGGTTCTTCATTATGGCAGATCCAGCAGTACTAACCGTTTGTTCGGCAGCTGCAAAAGCAGACTTGGTCTTTTCAGAAACATGAAACTTCTGGTCCATTTCCTTCACTTTGTCATTCACAATAGTGGTGCCCATGTTGATCTTATCAGTAAGACCGATCTTCTGGTCCAGAGAAACAACTTTGGCTGTGGCAGTGGAAGTAAACTGGTGCTTCTCGTCAAGGGCCTTCGCTTTGTTGAGTGCATCTTTGCCCAAAATGAAGCCCTTGGCCAACATGCCACTGACAACATCTTCTGCCTTTTGGACAGCAGACCCAGCAGCACCAGCATTTTTGTTCTCTGCTGCCTATACGGGTTGAACAATTTGGTCATACAAGAAACTAAGCATTTAGAATATAAAATTGAAGAACATGGACTAGATCATACAATAGGTGTTGCTGAAGCAGCTGGTGGCAACTTGTAATCCGGTGCAAAAGCTATGGCAACAGACTGATCAACTATTGTTGCTCCCTGACAAACACCCAAACGGCTTTACAATATATGAAAGGAACTTGAAATGTATAATAAACATAAAGGGCAAGGCACAAACAAGTCATTTTTCAACTAAAGCAACAACTAGAAGCCTTGATCTACAAATAACTAAAGCACAGCCGGAAAACGATGATCAACATATGAAAACTTTCTTCTATACATTTCTAAACTACAGAATCTAAATACATGACTCAACTGCAGAAGAAATATTGGTCCCGAAAATCTGACAAGTGGTATGAGAGAGGTGATATCTTATATAGACGTGTAAGGCCCAAATAAATTCTGCATTGATATTTGATACACAGAAAACCTGTGCGAAACATAAAGCATAACTGTATCAACATCAACTATGTGAGGCCCGATTCATTTTTGGCATTAGATCTGAAATTGAACAAGAGGTCAATGTGGATTTGGATTTGGAATTGGAATTTGATTCGATCAGTGGGAGCAATTTCAAAATATTAGTGGACCAATATAATAAACACAATACAAAACAACATAAAAATGAAACTTTTCAAATTGGGGACTTGTCCTTTAATAGATCTGCCCTTGGCTACATGAATCTTTTTCCTTCATTTTGCTCTCTCAAGTTATATATGCCTAGTTAACTTAAAGAAATTCATATTCTTTATTACTACAACATCCCGTGCCAAGTACTTAAACTTGAAGAACATTAAAAAATTGTCTTAACAAAATGCTCTAATGTACAAACACAGCTAAAGATTAGGTACATAAAAAATAGCCTATAGAAAACAACATAAAATTAATGACAGGAATGTTAGAATAGTACAATCTTTTATAAAAACAAATGGTCTCTAACTAATACGACTTAAAAATAAAAACCAAGAACAGATAAAATAATTCCAAATGCCTAGAGAAGAGAATGTACCGAAAGAAGAACTGCAGTCTCTGCACCTTGAGGATCCCTGAAGGTAACATATGCAGTCTGAGACCGCTCATTCTCACTGCAAAAAATATATATAATAGAATAAAAATAACATCAAATAAAACCGTATGAACCTTGATATTCATAGGATTCACTATCATTTGACTAGGTTGCCAAGAAGAAAAAAGAAAGGTGCAGGAGAATGGTAGGTGCAGGGGGATGGGGTAGAATTTGCAACTCCATGACTGCTACAGAAAGATTGCTCAACTCCATATGCTCACTTGAACTAACCTATGCATTTCCACATATTCAATTTCACCAGAAAAGGAAAAGAACTCCTTTACGTCTTGCTCAGTCGCCCCTAAGGAGACATTGCTGATTTTCACAGTTCTTACCTGCAATGATAAGGAACCAACCCAAAACTGTGGGTAAGAAAGAAAAAAATCAATTATTTTAACAATGTTGTTGTACATAATTGCAAAATCCATTGACATTTGAAAACACAGCTTGCAAACACAAATAAGCATATCATGTCTATAAAACAAAAAGCAATTGCGTTTCAGAAGTTCTAGGCTAACCATAATCCTCATACTCTTTCTGATGACCACATTCAAGTTCAATGACTAAAACTAATGTGACACAACATGTGAAACCAAAAGATGGATGAACATTACTCAAACGTCAAATATTATCACGAACTAATATGAACATACAACAACATAAAGATTTGTTCCACCCTCAAGTTATTAACATGACTTTGAATTGAATTCTCCAACAGAAAAACATACCCTTTCATAAATAAATAAAAAAAGGTACATACTAGGCACCTAGCAACAAGCATTCTTGATGATTATGAATTAATGATAGCAAACTCTATTATAAATATATATATATATATATATATTGTCGGGTGCATGTTCAACTAGACATGTTGGACACATCCCACATACATTAATCCAAGTGTCACATGTCCAACACTAAAGCTACACAAATTTAACAAAATCCATGTAATCACCTTCGTTATGTTAACATACATACACACATTTACAAATAGGAAGAAAACAAGTTTGAGGAAAACTATGCAGCATTCCAAGGTTGTTTTAATTGGTAAAGAAGACTAACTTATGTGTTAATGAAACAATCAAGAAAGTTGTTACGAAACACATGCTCACTAATCTGTGAACCACGATGACAAACAAAAGCAAAGAATGATGAGATGCTAATATGCAGAACGTGATGGTTTTAGTCACATCCAATTTATTGTTTTTGAACTTAAAACATACACTAGGAATCTATGTATTTCAAATTTGATGAGTTACATTATTTTGCTGCAAAAAATGGAATTTCCAGAGACAGGTCATAAATAAGAAGTGATAATAGCGAGGGAGGAGTAATTTAAAGTAATTGTTTTAACTTTAAGCATACCACTAGTAAAGCTTTCCTTAAAGCATTGTAATTTATTGTAAATATGAAACAGTAACTAACAATACAAGAAGAACACATAAGATAAGAAACACGCAAAGCAGTTGATGAAAGCTAAGAGGCACAAACGAAACGAAACTAAACTATGAGATAATCGAGTGGAAAACGTCCAATCAAACAGATCTACTACTACTACTACTACTACGAGATAGAGAATAAGAAACTCTGAGTAATAAAACCTAGTAGATATACAACACGTCACGATAATCACTCTGCTTACAAAAACCCCCAAAACAGATATTATAATTAATTAAATGCTTTCAAACCGTCGAATACATATACATATACATATACATATGCATATGATTTGGGTTTTCAATCCCCACCAAAAAACATATGAAAATAAAATTGTGGCGTAGGGGAAATTAATAGAAATAGAGATACTAACCGACATCGAAACCAATAAATTGCAGTAAACCAGAAATCAATTGCAGTGGCAGTGGCAGTGGCGGCGGCAAAGATCAGGAATACTAATAAGAAGAGAGAAACTTAGCGGGAGAGGTTTGGTAATAGTGAGTGATTTCTTCGCTAAAAAAAATGTCAAGCTCTTTCCTTGGCGGCTTGGGGAGGGAGATGGAGAGCGACGCAAGAGCATTTCAATGTTGCACTTTTTTATCAAAGTTGAGTAGATATTTGAGTAAAGATTCTATTTGGTATTACGTAGTTTTAATAGAGAATTTTAAATTTTTATCAAAAATATCAGTTAATTGGATAGATATTCGGCCGATTGATTAATTAGTGTAATTTTTTTTACAAAATTTTGTAAGGAAGTAATCATTGGGAAGACAATCGGTTAGCCGTTCCGTAATAAAAATAATATATAGCTTCAACAATTATCAACAGTCAAATGTTTAAAGGTTCCAATCGTTCTTAATTTGGTGAAACATTTATCATATTTTTAATTTGATACTCATTTGATGAAATAATCAAAGTAGAAAAAAATACGTTTTTTTATCAAATGTAAATTAGATAAAATAATAGGTGATACATTGGAGATGGTTTAATAGGGACGGTTCTATCGTGTAACGGAAAAGTTATTATTTGGTCTTGGGACACCGTCGCATGATGTTCCAACAGTGTTGTGATTTTATAAAGAGGTGAGACTCATGAATTTATGTTAGGTGATTGGGGAAGATAAGAGGTATGGTGTAGACACCCCATTTTTGACCGCCCTTAAGACTTGGACACTATTGATGCTTTACTTGGTGGTGAAAGCTGTGCAGGGCAAAAGTTCAGTTTCTTCAGCAAGGAGAGAGTCAAATCCCAACTTCATACCCCTTTTGGACCAAAACAATCTTGATCAAAAAATTTTAAACCTTGAAACCCTCTCTTTCAAAACATTTTTGAAAATAGGTTCCTACGATATTCCGACGCTTGCATTTTGTTAAATGTTGCGCTTTTCAGTAGACCGAACAAGAACAAAGTGGAAATGAATGAAAGAGAGATGAACTCTTTTGAAAAATCTTTCAAAACACCTTATTTAGGGGTTTGGAGTTGAAGAAAAGAGGAGAGGAGAGAAGAAACCTAGTTGGGGAAGGAGTTGGGCATGAACCGTTAAGAGAGAGACGAGAAGTCCTCGCCAAATCAGGCCTATCCTTTTGAATACTTGGATTTCAGTTATAAGGCCACTACCGTTGAAAAGCTTACTTCCGGGGCTTAAATTTTCATTCAAGAATCTCCTCGAGCCGAGTCCGGATGGGAGAGATATGGTTGTTGGAAGTTGGGTATCAATTCGGTTGGACCGAAACTGAGCAGTCTTCACTAAAAGAGGGACATCTCTGAGCACACATGGAATTTTGAGGTGAGGCTGCCAAATTTGGAAAGAAGACTTTCGGGGCTACAGTTTAGGCTCAAGAATGACTAGAAAAGGCATCTAGATGAAGGATTTAGGCTTTCTTCAAAATGGGGACTACGACTGATTTTTGTTGCCGGCCTCTATGGGAGTGTGCCGGCCATGATTGGCCAATGCCGGCCAAAAGTGACCCCTGTCAGCCATCAATGAGCCACTGCCTGCCATCACTGATGGTCGGCAGCACCTCTCTCTCAGCAGGTTTCACAACAGATCTTTTGAGCCAACTGGAATCCTTTAATTTTCCCTCCATACACGTGTATGGAGGGATGAAGCTCTTGCCAAGCTTGTTTAAGAAGCTTTGAATTGATTTTCCTTTATATAAGGAGAGGTCCTCTCTCCCCAGGAGGGGTTTAGCTATTTTAGAAGAGATATAGCTCTTTCTCTCTCTCTATATATTTCTTGCTCTCTCTCTATATTGTTGTGGTTTTAGTCCATTTTCCTTGCACTTTTACACTACACCTCCTAGCACAAAACCTCCACCATCCATCTAAGCACCTTGGAACTGATTTGCAGAGGTTGAAGGCTCATTACCTTAGTCCAGAAGTTGCTGAGGGTCGGCTCTACAAGGGTAAGCCTCTATTTTTCCTTTTTTTGCATTATTTTGCTTCATATCTTAGCCCTATTTGCAAGTATTTTTGGGTTTCGACATAAACTGAAAAAAGTTTTCTTTTGAGCTTATAAACATGTTTTCTTAAGGAAATTTTTTTGTTGGGGGTCATCTACCCCTTGCATGCTTCATTTCCTCATGATCAGGGCTATGCATTTGAGCATTTGCATTGGCCTTGGTTTGGCCTTTTAGCTACTGAAATCCAGTGGATTTTCAGTGGCTTAGATATATCTTTGAGCTTCAAAATCAGAGAGGGGTGACCCTCTCACCCCTTGTTCTCTTTACTAGCTTTGTTGGCCTTCCAAAGGAGCTCCATTTTGCATGCTTTGAACTCTTGTTTCAAGCCATTATTTGTGAGTTTTAAGGTCTGCATGAACTCTGTCCGAAGCCCCTTTTTTCATATTTTGTGTCTATCATGCATGTGTAGAGTAATCCTATTCAAGGCCTTTCAAAGGGGCTTTCATTTGCATGCTTCTTAGCCACATTCCAGGGCCTTTTTGGTGGGTTTTAGGACCCTCATAACCTCTTTCTAGAGGTGATTTTGTCATTTGGTGTGTCCATCATATATGTGTAGAACAACCCCTTGCATGGCCTTCCAAAGGAGCCTATCATTCTTGCATGCATTGACTGAGTTTCAGTGGTTATTTGGGCATATTTTGGCATGACATACTTCTGTGTTTTGGCTTGTTTGGTGAGCTCTCATATGCTTCATAAAGTTGTAGTACAACTCATGGTTTACTAGCTTTCTTTGCATGCTTTGTTGACCCTTGATTTTAGCACTTTTTGGCCATGCCTTAAACTGATGTTATGCATATTTTGGACTTCCTTAGCTCTATTTTTGGGTCTCATGGTCGAATGATGCTTGTTTTGCATGCTTGTAGTTCAATACCCATGCTAAACTTTGAGTTTTGAGGCTCATTCCATACATATACTGAGGTGTTTCCATGCTTTGGGGTCATTTTGCATCATATTTCAGAGCCTATATGAATGCCATATTCTCATGTTTTCAACTCCTTAAGTGTGCTTGAGAGTTGTCCATGAATGCCTTGTTTTCAGACCATTGAATGAGTTTCATTTCTTTGCATGTTGAGCCATCATTTTAGACTATTTTCCCACTGTTTCAGACTTGCCTAGGGTCTGTTTAGGGTTGGTTTTACCATTTGTGCATTGCTTTGGGTACCTCTAGTGTAACGCACTTCACTAGTTTCGGTACCCGGACCATCTAGCTTGCATTGGGTGACATATTTACATGTTTCGGGACCATCTTTAATGCCATTTCAGAGCTATATCATGTGCCATTCTATGCCATATTTCATCCTTTGCCATGCTTAGTTAGAGTTGCATGTTGTGCCTTAGGATCGGTCCTTTGCATTCGTGCATATTTGCATGTATTTCGGTTGTCGCATTTTCATAATATGGCCACTGATTTGAGTGTGGCTGAGGTCTACTCATATTGGCGGAAGTCCATCTTACGTTGAGCTTGCCATTTAGTTCATGATTGTCGCCTGTTTGGCCATTGCATTGTGTATGCTTTGATCATATCATTAATAGCCTTCATGTGCGCATGATAGCCTTCGTATGTGCATTGCGTATGCCATTGTAGTTCATAGCATTGCGTATGCTAGGTTACATGTTAGTCGCATTGTGTATGCCATGCATATTGCATTGTGTTTGGAGTATTGTTAGTCCAAGCACGAGGAACGAGGGGCGTTTCATACTCCGAGTGATGGAACGTGTCTCAATTCTCGGTCGCCGAAGCTCTTGATGATTCATGATAGAGTTCTAGGCTTTACTCGTTGTATTTGTGCATTCATTTTCATATTGATTTGCACAAGTTGGATCTTTGGCCATCATGCATCGGGATGCGTAATTGATGGTCGTGGATCCGACTAGGCCTCTCCCTTGATGTTTTGAGGTGATTTGGGGTGGCATAGTGCATATACACCCTTGGGAGACCCTCCCATTTCTCTATTTTGTGCTTTGTTGCAGCTTGGTGTCACAGCACACCAGTAGCCGGCAATGCACCACTGATGGCCGGCAGACTCTCATTCTTGGCCGGCAGTGCCCTGTTGTTGGCCGGCAGTGCTCCTTTCATGGCCGGCAGGCCACTGGTGAACTCTCCAGTAGTGTTTTGGTAAGTTTCAGCAACAAACACTGGAAGACACTCTGCAAACAGAGCCTCTAAAGAGAAATCGGAAGGCGTTTCGAGGCGAGGAACCGAAGCGAGCATGCATACCCTCCTCTTCTTCAAACAGAGCTGGAGCAATTTTTTTAATGCTTACTTGTTAGTTAGCATCCATTTGTAATAATTAATTTGTTAATTAATTAAGTTGTGTAATAATTAGTTGTAGCTAGTTATTCATTTGGTTTTGTAATAATTAATTAACTTGTTAGTTAGTTAATTAGGCAGAATGTACTATTTATTCGGACCCTCCGAGCGAGGGCACAATTGTAATAAGCGTACGTGTGTGTGATGTATGTCTTCCAACCCCATTTCTTTCTCCCTTTTATTTAACCGCTTACAATGGTTAGATTTAGGGCATATTTCAATTAGCATACATTATGCTATGCATGCGTGCATTCATTCATCTGTATTGCATGCACCGGGCTCGGCGCATCATACTAACTGCATTGTATGTCAATTCCAAGTTGAATACGTGTTAGCTGTAGCATCATCGTATGCCATTCTTAGGATAGCCGAGCCTATTTCTAGTTGCATTTTTGCATGTGTTGCATTAGCCATCTTAACATGAACTAGGATCATGCATTAATTACTAACTAGTCTCTGTTTTGGCTCGGAGTACTCGGTAAGTGTTTATGCTTTAGCATCCTTGCATGCGTGTGAGTGACTGCCATGATAGCATGTTTACCATGAGGCTAACTGTTTATGTGATATACCTGCTTGAATGCCTGTGGGTGAAGGTTGGATTATTTGAATTGGAATAATGCATTAACTGTGAGTTTTAAGCCTACTTGAGAGTGACAAATCATCTTGTTTTCTAAACCCACCTGAGGGTGGAAAAATCTACATTTTAAGCCTACTTGTGAGTAGTAAACCATCTTTCAAAAACAAACATGAAATGTTTAGTTCCAATTCAGGCGACCCAGTCTACACTTGTATGTTGTGCGCATCACATAGTAATTCTAGGCTAATAACCAGAATAAGA